GGGCTTTGCGACTCGCGCGTCGGCAGGTGAGGAAGGAGCTGGCCGGGTTGAGTGGGCTGGGCTGGCAGCTGGCAGCCCCTTTTCAATGGGTATTTCTTTATTGCTGCTGGGCATGCCAGCTTCCTCCCGTCCCTGGGGCCCTTACTCACGAGAAAGCCCAGCTGCTCATGAAAAGCTTTGCTTCCCCTTACCTGGGCAAATCAGATATTTATTATGGTCAAAGATGAGGATAAGGAGGGCAAAGTCCTTTGAATTAGAGTCTAAATCAAATATGTGTGCGGGTGTGTGTATTTCTCGGCCTTTGGGCTAAGAGCAAGTGTAGTACCTCACCTGTGCAACATGTGGGGGTTATGATTTCCCTCCCTTTCCCTAGATTGTAAGCTCCTCTGGATGTTGGGTCGAAAGAAGGGAGGATCCAACCTTAATTATTTCTTTGAGACTTGGCTTCAGTTGGTCTCTTGGTCTGATCTAGCAAGTGGTGGAAATCTGAAACTGGGGGACTCCCGCAGGTGGCTCGGTACTGAAGCTCTAAAAGCGTGGGACTACAACTCCCATCATTCCAGCAGCGGGGCTCGTGGCGTTTGTTTTTTTAAAGAGCAGGTTAGAGTTTCTGGTTCTCAGGGCATGGAGTGAGAGGGCCCAGCATCTTCTGACCTCTTCCTGAATGCTGTTGAAAAGTGTTTGCCTGATTCTTGATCCCCACATTTCAAAATACTTGGTTTAAACGAAGCTCAGCCAGGAAAGATTTTATCTACCTGTGCAACATGCGTGCCTTTGATAGTACTGAAAATTATCTCGAGTATTCTGCAAGAAATAATCCCTAGTTGCTTTGATTTGGTTCTAAATTAACCCCACCCTAAATTAGAGCAAAGGGGCTTAAGAAAGAGAAGAAAAACGATTACAGTACTTCACCAAAGGACTGCAGTTTAACTTCACCTGGAGGTGATAAGAAATCCCTGTAGGGGGATTTTAAATGAAAAATCTTAAGAAGAAAAATTGCTACCCGAAAATGCTTGTAATCTAAAATTGGCTACATGGCAGCAGGAGGAGAAAAAAAAATCAGGATTTATTGCAGATGAAGGTTTAGTTGAGTTAGAAATATTCTGTTGCCTTTCTGCAAGGTAGCCTTCTCCAGCCTAGTCACACCTGAAGGCAGACTTTGATGGCTGGTATAGTCCTAACCTGGGGTGTTGAGGAAAGTTGTGAAAAGGCAAAAGGCAGTGAGAAAAATGGAGCTAGAGTGTAAACGGTGGGTCTTATTCTCATCAGAGAAGTGCTGTTAATGTCTCACATCTGGGCAGGGAGACTGAGTCTGGTTAGCACTCGGATGGGAGACCACAAGGACATCTCAAGGACTGAGGTTAGACTGAGAAGTTGGAAACACTCCTGAAAACAGACATTCTAAGAAGAAAAGCAATGCTTATTTATGGATACGTCCACAAAGTCAGTGGGAGTCAAGCTTAGTTTGATAGAGTCTTTCTCTGTCCTGAATATGGTTCCAGACTTACGTGGAGTGGTTAATCCTTTATGGCTGCAACATTCATTTTTCGGCTAGTAAACATACATGCGCACACACACACACAGGGACACAAAGTTGCCCACCACCAAACTTAGTTGCCATTAGGGGTAAGATGTGAGCTTGCTGTCGATGGGAACAGATCTCGGGTGGGTTCTTGGAGTTGGAGGCACCCCTTGGAGCTGAACGTAAAAATATGAATTTGCAGGGGGGGAGGTTGTAAATGACAGGTATGAGGAAGCTTGGAGCCAAGAGGAAAAATTTGCAAATGGATTGGAGGGGGTTTCTTGAGTTTGGAGGGGGTTGGGGGCAGAAAAGTATATTCCGAAGGAGGTTATTACTTCGTTCTTAAATACGGAAGGACTTGATTAAAGGCTGAACTAGGAACCAGGAAGATTGAGCAGGTATATAAGAGCAGGAAAGAGAAAAACAGCTTGTGCAACGTGGCAGATGGGTAATTAATGTGGAGGATAAGCTCTGAAGGGGGCGGGAAAGGGTCAGGAATGGGGCTCATGAAAGAGGGGGGAGAGTGGGCTTCGGCAAGAAGGGGGATGTGTGCGAATCAAGGCGGGGTTGGTGTGAGATCAGCATCACGCGCAGCTCCGAGAGCAAAATGTTGATACCAAACATATGTGAACCCTCCCACGGTTTGATCATCTGGGGCAACTGACGCTCCCTCGGCTGTGGTTACAACCAGAAACCTAGATGAGAATCCACCGGACAGCCGAATGAAGCGTTGGGCTTTAGAGCCAGCAAACGTCTTCCCGTCGTGTGTACAGATGTGTGCCAAACCTGGGCAGCTGGGCGGGGTTCGAGATTGCAAGATTGCGCGGGGTGTTTTGTGTAGCAACCTGACATCATGGGTTTACAAAATGGGCCCGTGAGGATGAATGATGGTTTTAAAGATCTCCCCCCTTTTTTTTGTTTTAATTACATTCTCTTATCAAGGTTTTTTAAAAAGGGACACGCCTGATGGGGGAACAAGTGTTTGGGAATCCTTGGTGGTTACCTTTTGGAAGGATACTTCTAAAAGAACATTGACTTCTTTTCTGTCTTTTGAAATAGAAACTCTTGTTAATTTCTCCAGCTCGCTGCTTTGATGTTTAGAGTCAAGGTTTGGCCAGGAGAAATCAGTTGGGGAGGGGTGCTAGATTTGAGGGTGGTTAGAATATTATTTTGCCTCCTTTCAAGCCCGGCCAAGCTGTGGCAGCTTGCAAGCCACCTTGGCACACGCAGCGCACGCTACACCTCTTGTTTGCTTCCGGCTTAGCTGTTGAGCAAACGCTACCTACGCGCTTAAAAACCTGGGGGTGTGTGTGAGGTTGGATGGGCCCACTTTTTACGGCCGTTGCTGCCCTTGAAGGCTAAAAATGTCATATTTCCAAAAGGGGGGGGTAGAGATTGTGATTTTTCTCCCCCCCCCCCCGAATTCTTAGCCTGTTTGCTTTGGGATTTGAATCTGCAGTGTGCAAATATTCTTTCCTTCCTTTTCCACCCCACTCTTTCCCTCCCATCCAAAACCAGGGTGTCCTAGGATGAAAACCTAGAATCTCAGAGGGTCTCCCCCAGCTTTGCAGCTGGTGCAGATGTCTTTGGCCTGCATGGCTGGCTGGTGAATTTGCCTTTAACCACGGGTGCCGCCGTGCCTTGGCACTGGGGTTGGAGGTGTGCTTACCGAAACAAAGCACCTGCTGTTTGTAGAGATGGTGACTTCCTCTTGGCACCAGTTACCTCCGGCCGGAGGCGAAGGGGCTGGAGGCTGACATATTGGCATTTTTCTTTCTTTCTTTTTTTTTTTATTATCTTCTCTTTGCTCAGCTTTATTCTCTGGCATGCCTGTGGTTTCAAACTACCGTGCATGGGGGCAGATCTTGTCTCAGTTTCGGTTCAGCCTCAGTCTTGGAAAGAGATGGGGAAGTTCGATGAAATGGTCATTTTTTCATGCTGGGTGGACTAGTAAAAAAGCCGCCAGTTCAAATACACAGGGTGATCCAGTCGGGGTTCTTTTCTTCCCCACCCTCCCATTGCACAGATCCTGGTTTCATGTTATGGAGTAGTTATTTGGGGTTTGACTTAGAATACTGTCTGTCTCTCTTGCGATTTGGAGCGACAGCTTCGGTTTTTTGCTTCCTGGGGAGATTTACTGTATGTCGGTTAATTTTTTCCTTATCGTGAAGGGAACGTGGTATTTGCTGGTGCTGTAAGCTGGAATGAATCTAAGTGATCTGGCAGCGTGCAAATTTAATTGATTGCATCGCTGTCCCGAGCTGTTGGGATTCATCGAGGAACGTTCCTGTGGGTAAAAGGATTGGGGGTTTGGGGGGCAAGGCCATGCTCTAAATGCAGAGGGCGAGGCCACGCTGATAGGCAGGAATTTAATTATGCACCTACAGCATTATTGGTGGAGGTATGACAGTTATACCTCTCTAGATGCAATTACCCCAAGAGGTTTTTGGGAAGTGGGCCTGGAGGGGATTGTTCACCTGGGGATTTTGGGTAGGCGAGATCTTTCACCTGGGGATCGTGGGTAGGCGAGATCTTTAACCGGGGGATCATGGCCAGGTGAGATCTTTCACTGGGGGATCATGGCCAGGTGAGATCTTTCACTGGGGGATCATGGCCAGGTAAGATCTTTCACTGGGGGATCGTGGCCAGGTGAGATCTTTCACTGGGGGATCACGGGCAGGCGAGATCTTTCACCAGGGGATCATGGCCAGGTGAGATCTTTCGCTGGGGGATCATGGGCAGGCGAGATCTTTTACCAGGGGATCGTGGCCAGGCGAGATCTTTCACTGGGGATGCCTAAGAAGTGGGTTAGTGAGAGAATGTCAAGATGGAGTAAGTGGCAGAGATCTCTTTACCTTTGGCTGAAGTTTTGCCCTGTTTTTTGTTGGTTCAAGGTGTGGATTAATTGTTTGCAAAGTAGAATTGCAATACCTCTGGCCCGGAGGCCCCATTTAATAGCCGGCAAACATAATTTTCTGGCGTCAGTCTCAGAAAGCCTCTCCTCTGTTTTTGCCTTCGACCCCCCACTTGCATGGGGAAGGTTGTTCCTCCCTTTATACCAACCAAGATTCCTGCCCACCTTGAGTTTAATATTTGGCAAAGATGCTGTCGGCTTTAAAGAAAAGCTGGCCGGGTGCAAAATTAAAATCCCACTTCTCCTTTAACTTGGATTTCCCCAAATACGACTTTGACGCAGATCCCCATTTCCATTGTGAAGCTGCTTGGATTCTGAAAGCCCTTTATTTTTCCTTTTTAATAACTTCTCCTTCCTCAGCTTTGCTTTTAGAAGGCAGGGACTGTGTATTGATCCAATTCAGGAAGGCACGCCGAGATTAAAGGAAGTTTGTTGCTGTAAAACTGTTTGCTCATTGTCCTGGGCTGAAAACAGCCGCTTTTCACGAGGAAGTGTTTTGCTCGCCACGTGGAAAGATGGAATTTATTTTCTTCAAGATACCCAGGAAGGTCTGCTGCGGCTGGAAAACATCATTGGGTTGATTATCTTTTGCGTGCTTCGTTTGTTTGTTTGATACCCAACCCTAGCAATCAACCAGGAAGAATTAGAGCTTGCATGTACAGGAGTAATATATCTTGCTCTCCAAGGGGGCAGGGGAGGGAGTGACAGCGGGACGGCTACCCGGTGTGTCTGTGTGTCCTGCCTTAGATGTCTGCCGTGAGAACCAGGGTGCTGGTATAGATGGCTCAATTTTGCTTGCTTTGAGGTCCTGACAATAGCCAGGGAAATACAGTGGTCCCTCGGGTTACAAACGCCTCTGTTAACGAACTTTTCGGGTTACGACCAGCTCCGGCCA